TCTCTGTCTCTCAAAAATAAATAAATGGTAAAAATTTAAAAAAGGAGATACACATAAAGTGTGAAGGGGCCAAAGGGCCATCACGACCACAAGACAGAATGAGCCTCCTGAGAACAAATGGGGCAAAAATGGTAACATCAGCTGAATCAGAAGGAAGGGCGTTTAGGTGTTCTTTGTACCAGTATTGCCACTTTCCTGAAAGTTGGAAATTATCTTAAAGTACAAAACTAAAAAAAAAAAAAAAAAAAAAAAAAAAAAAAAAAAAAAAAAAAAAAGGCCCAGGTCAGAGTTTGTACTCCAGGGCTCACCCATATATTGCTTGATCACACACACAGGCTTTTAAAAAATGGGAATTTCTTGCCAACAGTTGAACACTGGGAGATTGTACACGAAAGCTGGATTTCTGGTTCCCCTTGTACAGAGGACGCTGCAGCCACACTGGGGCCAGGGTGCTTCTGCAGGCAGCAGCCAGAAGTAGTCATGCTCTTGGTGTGGCACCCACGCTCTCCCTGCCCGACCTCATGGAGGTGGGAGCTTGCGACCCATAAGCATTCTACCGTGCCTGGCCCGAAAACACCTCAGTCACGGGCCTGTGTCTACCTGTCCATCTTGGGAGACGGGCTCCAGGCCGTTATTGGATTTTCTTTGTGCCTGAGCACTGGGGACATCTGAGTCTTTCTGAAGGCAGGTCTGTCCCCATTTGTCAGATGGAGAGGCTGAGGACCTGCGGGGCAGAGGTCATAGGTGGAGCTGACAGAGGTCTGGGACCTGGGTGTTCTGCCTCCAAACGCTGTCCTTGCTCCCCACCACACAGCACCTCACGCCTGTACCATTTGCAAAGGATAGTCCCATCCGTCCATGCGTGTGGTCCCCACAACAGCCCTGTGGGGTAGGCAGGGGGTGGGGGGGAGGGGAAGGGCCTTTGACCAACTCCCCCACTGCACACAGCAGGTCTCCCAACATTGGGGCACAGGGAGGTGGACAGACCTGTCCAGGGTCACAGGCTGGGCACAGCTGGGCCAAGTGACCCAGCAGCAGAGAGTTCCTTGCCTTCCTCTAGGTTGAACCACTGTGCCAGATGCCATGAGGGGGGTTTCTGAGCTACCATGAGGACCCTGCAGGTGCCCCCAGCCAGGTCCCTGTCTTCCCCAGGGGTCATTCAACTGGAAGGCCCAACAAGGCCTCCCGGCACAGGGAAGGTGTCCAAGGTGTCTGCACAAAACGAGCATCCAAATGGCAGTTCTCCAGAGTTCTGAACAATTGAGGAAAATCCCCTGGAGGAGGCAGGCTCATGCAGGCTGAAGGTGGGGAGGAGCTGGATGGGGCAGATCTCAGAGAGGAGGAAGGGGGAGATAGTCCAGATGAAAGAAGACTCGTGAGCTGGGGTCAACCCATTTTATAAGCAAGGAAATGGAGGTTCCAAAAGGGTAAGAAGCTTGTCCAGGGGCTCCTAGCAAATGAGAGCAGTGGGGATTTGAACCCAGACGTGTTTCACTCCCAAGCCCAGGCTCCATCTGAGGAATAGGGAAGGGAACCAACCCGTTGTGGGCATCCCTCAGCTAGCACTGGGCTAGGCAGGGGCTTCGCCTACATCACACACCAGAACATCCCTACTGTCTTCATGGATCAAGAGAAGTGGAGCGACATGGCCCAAGGCCACACAGTGAGTTCATTCCAAAGCCCAGATCTGGCTCAGTCCAGCCCCACCCAGCTTTTTCTACAAGAGCCCCAGCCTCTTTCCTCTCTCTGGCAGACAGTGCTTGAGCCCCCACGCCATGTGGACCCACGGATGGGCGGGGCATGACCTACTGGTAGCCTCACGCTCAGGGCTTCTGGCTGCTGGACCTGTCTGGGAGAGAGGATCCACGAAGAAGGGCATCCCAACGGTGATGGTGTGTGTTTATCTGCATATGGCCAAGGATGGAAGGGGCCCATAAGAGTGACATCATTAGATCTCTTTGGGAGGCAGAACTGGAAGAATTTTACTCTTTACCTTATCTGAGATGGTTTGAACGGTGAGAGACTCGGTCAACATGATGGGGCTGTGCTCGAAAGGGCCAAGCACAGCGTGGGTGTCATGGGCTGAAATGTGTGTGAGTGCCATGCTGTATGGGGGTGACTGCCCACGGGCAGTGGTGGGCAGAGAAGGCTTCTTGGAGGGGGTGGAGCCTGAGCAGATGAACAGGAGTTAAATGTGTAACAAGGAAGGGAGAGGGCCATCTAAGAGTGGGGAGCAACTTCAGCAGGGGCAGGGCAGAGGGAAAAAAGCAAGGTGCACCTGTAGCAGAGCTACAAGTTGAGGATGGGTGTGATGAATCTGTGACTCTCAGGCCTGGGAGGGCATTGAATGCAGTGCCCATTCGGTGCTTGGGTCCACTCCACAACACCCCCAACACCCCACAGCCTGTCCAGGCCTGCTTACACACAAACCATGACCAGGAACTCACCAGCTGCCAGGCAGCCTCTTTTGTCCTAGAACGGTTTTGTTACAGAATTTCTCTTTCTGTAGACTGCTTTCTGTAGGGCTGCCTATACCCTCTTCTCACCCCCCCATTCCCCGTGAGCCTGTGTGAATCATTCGGCTGTCCCAGCCCCATGCAGATATGTTTCAGAATGTCAGCACTACAGTTCACAGTCAAGCTCACCCTGCGCTCTGGCATTTTTGATGGGTCCTGACTCTTGCTTTCTTTTTGCCATCCCCCTGCACTCATGCATGGTCTCTGCAAAGTTGACAGGCATACTTTCCATGCTGAAACAGGATAGAGCTCCAGAGAAGCCCAGAAACCTCCCACTGGATTACCAGCAACCCACCAATCAGCACAAACCCACCCAAATCTCCTGGCCCCTAGCACATCCTGCTGTATCTTGCCCACAGGGGCATCCCAAGACACCTTGGCTGCTGTCTCGTGACATCTGGAGGCCCAGGGCCTACACTATTTACCTGGGCTTCCAGTTAGATGTATAGGTAAAGGCCCAAACAGTTGGTTCGACTTGGGCTGGCTAGCTGACTTCCCACCCCATCTCTGCCCGGTCTGTGTCTTTTCCAGAGTCTCCCTGCACCTGTGCCCATCTCCTTGGCTGGTCTGTGATGCACCAGAGTCAGTGATTCTGAACATTTTATCTCCTTAGCCTCCTGTGATGTAACTACCCCTCCTCTCCCTTCTCCAAACTGTCTGGAACCTTCATCACCCATCCATTCAGGCCCAGTGCCTCCACTTGACTTCTGCTGATCCAGATGACCCACCAGGCCACTTCTCCCAAGGATGATTGCCTCTCTGTCAACCACTTTATCTCAGAGGTCAGAACCAGAGCCTCAGTGACATGAACCCTGATGTGGCCCTAAGTTCCAAGAAGGCGTTCAAGGCTTTATATGATCTCCTAGTCCCCAGAGCCTTTGCACTTCCTGTCCCTCTCCCTGGAGTGTTATTTCTTCTCGTTGTGCTGGTTTCAGCTCACAAGAAACCTCCTCAGACAGGCCTTCCCTGACCAAAAAGACTCCTGTCCCCTTTCTCAGAGCCTCTATCTCATTACAGTGGTATAATGTCATCTGAATATTTGAAATTATCTTACATATTTACTTGCTTGTTCCTTTATTGTCCATTTCCTTTTACTAGATTTTAAGCTCCAGGAAGGTAGGGACCTTACTTGTCCCACCAACCACTGGCAAACTGGAGCTACCTAACAAATGTTGGTTACGTATGTTCTGGATAAATAAATGCCCCAGCTCCGATTCTCACTCCTTTCTCCCATCCTACCCTGCAGACCTGCTGATTGTCCTCTGTGTATTGCTAGGACATCCCATATTCCTTCAGACTTCTGTGTCTCTGCACACATTTGCCTCTGCTCTGAGGCCCTTCCTCTATAATTCTGCTTGGCGAGCTCCTACTCACCCTTTAAAACCCAGCTCAATTCCAATTTAAGTGGTTCTGTCCCTTTTCTGGCTTTCTCGCGTCTTCTCACTCCTCTACTGTGGAATGAGCTGTTTGCAGTCTACAGGCTGGAGGCCCTCATGGTTAGGAGGAGGCTCAGAATCATTGTGGGGGCCTGGCCCAGGGCAGCTTCTCAGAGGATGTTTCCCGAGCCGCGCTGAGCAATGAGACCCTTTGTGTGTCCCCTCGAAGGAACTGTCTCATCCAGCAGGTGCCTCACCTCTGCAAGGTCTCTCTACCTCCTCTCTTGCCCCCTGCAGCAGCCAGAATGAGATTTTACAAATGCAATGTGACTAGTTCACTGCTTAAAACTATTCCAGATGACCCTCGTCACACTTAGACATTTCAAAACTAACTCTTCGAGAGCCGGCATCGAGGCCCTCCACCCCGTCCATTTTACTCAATTTCCTCCTGCGTCGGGACCTTTGCACTTGTTGTTCCCTCGTATACGTTCCCCACAAATAGTCACTAGGCCGGCTCTCTCTCATCGTTCACACCTCACCTCAAACATGGCCCCCCCGCCCCCTGCAGCCACCTGCCTTCCATCGCTCTGCTTTATTTTCATCATAGACCCACCACCTTCTGGAGTTTTCACAATGTCTGGGACTTCTCACTGCACCACAAGCTTCTCAGGGCAGGGGCCTTGTCAGCCTCATTCATTGCTGTATCCCCAGTACCCAGCCCAGTGCCTGGCACATGGTAGGTATTGAACATAACTGTCACCCGATCAATCCTTCCCTATCCCTGATAAGAACAGCCTCTGGTGTTTGACTTTTCAGAAGACTAAGTCACTAGAAAGTAAGTTCTATGAAGGCAGGGATTCTCTGTAGATTTTCTTTACTGCACTATCCCCAGGGCCTGGAGCAGTGCTAAGTGCACAGTAGGCTCAAAGTACGGTTGTTGAGGGGAAAGGGAGGGAGCTGTCATTTGGGGCTGAGCTGGCTGGAGATCTGAAGCCAAGGAACAAAGTCTTTGAGAACTTCCAGCCTCATGAAGGGGACACAGGTGCCCCCCACAGCATAGAGGCAGGAACTGGCAATGGGAGTGACCCACCGTTGGGCCACATCTCACCTGACAGCAGCATGGGGTCCTTGTCCACGGACTTGCGCACCTGGTCAGACTCTCCTGTCAGGGAGCTTTCGTCGATTTTGAGGTCATTGCCCTGGATGAAGAGGCCGTCAGCAGGGAGGAGGTCACCTGGTGGTAGGAAGGGCAGTCGAGTTAGCAGGGTCTCAGGTGGCTGGAGGGTCTGGGAACATTCCTTTGAAGGTGTGTTTGCAAGGTCAAGTTCACCATTGGGGACCAGCTGCCTAGAGCTCCCAGGGTGTTGGAACCAAGATGGCACTCATCACAGGCCAATAGGCAGCTGAAGACTGGAGCCAAGGTGAATGGCGCAAGGCCTGGAGGGCTGAGGCTGGGCCCAAGAACAATCCTAGCTCAAGTGGGCTTGCACTTCTGTTTATAAAGTGCTTCTCTTGGCCTGGTGTGGATTTGGGGCCCAGTTTTCTCAATGATTCATTCTCTGGTCTCAACTACAGTTTGGAAAATTCTTCTAGGAGGGACTAGTCTGTCTTGGCTAGGCTGAGGAGACCCTATGACAGGCCACTTTATCAGAGGAAACCAAGCCCCCTAAGGTGGAGTGAAGAGGGAACTCCAATCTCTTCCCCATCGTCTGCCTCTACTTACCCAGGACATATCTCACCTATACCCCCTTTGGCACTAGCCAGCCTGCCCACTCTCTCCACGGTAGTATCACAGGCCCATCCACGTCCACTCCCTACAACACCCTCTCTAGCCCAACAACCATCCATCAACAGCTCAATTATAGATGGGAAAGGGATTTTGTCTCATAAACCCATTCTGAGTGTCAGTGGTCCTTGGAGCATTATGTTGAGAAGGCTTCTGTATCTAGGCTTTGAATTGTGATTGATTAGTAATGTCTGTTACAGGTGGAGGTTTTGAGAGTGGTAGCACATGTGTCATGTATCTGCCATTTCTGACTTTCAGGATTCCGGAATCCTACCTCCTCTAGGAAGTAGCCTTCTACCTCCCAAAGGATCTCAGAAGACATCCTGCCTTGGGATTAGCTTTCAGGAACCAACCCCCTTCCCTGGGCCAGCCTCTTTGGGTCTGCCTGTCCTGTCCCGCCTCTGCCCAGACTCTAGCTCTAGCACCTGGCTCTGTGGCTGGGACACTTACCATATTTGACCTGGGCGATGTCCCCAACCACAATCTCGGCCACAGGGATCTGGACTACCTGGCCAGCCCGAACCACGGTGAACTTCTGCTCCTGCTCAATGCGGCTCTGCAGGCCCCGGAACTGCTTCTCTTTGCTCCAGTCATTGAAGGCCGTGACCAGGACCACACAGATGACAGAGAGGAGGATGGCCGCCCCCTCGATCCAGCCCGCCTCCGCCTCCCCTTCATCCTCTGCCCCTCCCTGGGCCGTCGCACATCCTGCAGAGGGCAGAAGGAAGCAGGCAGGGTGGGGTCAGCCAGGCAGGAGGGGCCTCACGGGCCTGGATTTAAATCCCAGCTCCCCAAGTAAAAAACGTTGATAACTGGATGAACACGATCCAATTTATCCAACGTGTCTGGGTGGTGAGCCCTTCAGTTTTCTGTGTTGGTTCTAGGAGTGGGATCTTGGACAAACGACTCCATCTCTTTGAACCTCAGTTTTCAGATCTGTAAAAAGGGATGGATATTCTTTATCTGGGGGACCTATTGTGAGGGTTGAACTTCAGTGAGGTAAGGTCCATGGTGGCTCCAGCACAGACCCAGCACAGAGGACAGGCCTGATTCACGAAGAAAGAGAAAAAGTGAGGATGTAACAGGACGAAGGTGGTCAGTATTGATCAGGGTCTGGAGGGCAGTTTGGCTGATGTGCTTTCTTTCCATTCTTCCAGCAACTGTGAGGCAGGCCTGCAGACAGCAGGCTGGGGGGCAGGAACTATGATGCTGGGCCTGACCTTCAACGAGCTGGTTCTAATTCTGCCACTGCCCCTGTGTGATCCTGGGTAACTCACTGTCCTCTCTGTGCTGCAGTGTCCTCCTCTGCAAAACTGGAGTCACGGAGACCTCCTCCCAGGTTCCAGGAGAGGAAGGTGAAAGCCCCACCTAGAGCTTAGCACACAGCCCTTTTGCATCTCTGGTTGGACTTGATGCCACCCTTCAGGCTGTAGGCTGCTCATCTGTCCTACAGTGACCGTGCATCCCATACACTCTTGCACTGTTGAACATCCCAGTCTGGTTCCCCAAACTGTTTGAGGCCTGCCAGGCCCACCATGTGAACAGAAGAAGAAAAAAGCAGGCCTATCTGATACAAAAGCCTCAGGCCCTGCCCATGCAGTACTAGGTCCTAGGGTCTTTCCAAGCCCCTCCATGCACCCTGCCTCCTGTGTCCCCTAAAGGACCCAGAGAGGGAGAGTTACCTCCATTTACAGATGAGGAAACTAAGGCTCAGAGAGGTGAGGGAACAGCCAAGGTAGGTGTGACAGCCAGGACTAGCCCAGCCCCTTTTCTCCACCAGGAGGTGGTGAACAGCACTTTCTATGGAAAGTGACCCGAGTAGCATCAGACTATCCATCCCTGGAAAACTCAGAGAGCTTTCCTTTCGTGGTGGCAGGGCAGGGTACTGGACCATTCACAAGTGACTTGTGCCAAGCACTCACTTTAGTTCTCAAGCTGACCAAGAGAAGTGGTTCAGAGAGGGCTGGCAACTCACCTGGGGTCATACAGCAGATCTGGAGTTTGAATCCAGGCCTGGAATCTGGATCTGGTCTGCCTACTGTCCCTGAGCCCAGTGGCCTCCTCTGCCATGTGCTGGCCTCACGTTGCCAAAGACCCTTGGCTAACTGTCTGGAAGTCCACTTCAGCCCCAAGGAAGAGAGAACAGTTTTGAGAGATCCCAGCAGGAGCTTCTGGGAAGCCAGAGGGTCAGAAGCAACATGACCAGAAGGCCAAGTGGTACCAGGGAATGTTTTCCAGCCCCTGGAGGGGTGGAGGTCCAGGCTAGCTGGTGGGACTAAGCTTGGGACGGTAAAGAATCATGTGGGCCAGCAGTATGTATCACTCCTGGTGAAATTCCACTGCTTTCACCAAACAAGTCACACTCTGCAGACTAGTAAACAACCGCATCACTGCACAAGGTCCTCGATGTCACTCTTTTTTTCTTTTGAAATTTCAGACTTTTGCAATAATCTTAAACTGCTTAACTGGACCAGCCTTTAGTGCTGATGATAATCATAATCATGCTAATGTAACTGCCATCGGGCCAGCCTTGAGCTTGAATCCCAGCTGTGATTCAGGCACTGCTGGGTGCCTATGACCGGGCTACTTAACCACTGTGCCTCAATTTTCTCATTTGCAAAATGGGGGTGGTGGCAGACACTCCCTCGAAGGTGGCTGAGAGGACAGAGGGAGAGCGTTTACGTAAAGCACTCACCCTCCTGAGCACATAGCCAACAAAGAGTGAAAGCTGCTGTTTTTTGTCATTCGGTGTGCAGAGTGCCTAAATGCATTCAAATTCACAGCCAGCCTTGGATGGAGCCTGGGGCCCCAAGCTATGGAGGCGTCCAGCTGGAGTTCAGCTGCGATGACCGGGGGAGGCAAACAAGGGCACCCCTCCACCATCATGAATGACACCAGAAGCCCCAAAGCCTGGGAAACACAGGTGAACCTTTCTAAACAGAAACCCAATCCATGGAAATGTGCTCTTTTGGGCTTCAGGGGAGTGACTTGAGATACAGAGCCCCAGTTCTTTGCTTTATGGGACTTTTATTACTCTCTGCCTCTGCTACATGCTTTGTAAATGGGAAGACTATTCTTTCCCTGTTGTGTATTTCATCGGTGTTCCCCCCCCCCCCCCCCCCCCATTTACAGATGACAGCAGTCACTGCAGCATTTAGGACACTCAGAGATAGCCCAGGACCATGGAAAGCCTTTGGGGTCTGGAATTGTAAAGACTGACTTTGAATCCAGGCTCTGCTGTGTGACCTTGGGTAAGTGACTTGGTCTGTCTGAGTCTCAGTTTGGACAGCTGTAATGTGGGATGACTTTGTGACCCCAGGGCCTAGTAAGGGCCTGGCATCTGTTGGGTACAAGATAAATGGTCTCCTTTGTATGAGCTACTCTCCCTGGACTGGCTTCTGGAAGCCAAGGGGGTGGTAACTGAGCAGGGTTCATACTCTGTTCCCTTGACTCCCAACCCTGCCTGTTGCCTTTGCTGGTTCTATACCAAGGAGCCCTTTGGGTCCTTGAGGGCACTCTGCTGGCCAAAGCCCATTTGTTTTTCCTTCCTTCTGATAACTGTCTGATGGTCACTCTGTGCCTTGGGTGGGCCAGAGTGGGGCTGTGGATTGCTGGGTTAGGCCTTCAGCTACCAGGAGCTGCTGGACCCTGGGAACAACTCCTGCTGCCCCAGATGCAATCAGGGAAAAGAGATGGGGAAATGGAAAGAAGGGGGGCACTGGGCAGGCCCTGCTGAGGTCTCCTCTGGGGCCCCTTGGGCTGGGGCAGGAACAGGTTCTGAGCAGCCCGCAGCTGCTCTCCCTGGACCTGGGGCTTTGTAAGGTTCGGCTTTTGTCTGTGTGACCTCAGGGAACTTCTTGGCCTCTCTGGGCCTACTTTTCTTGTCCATCAGTAAAATGGGAAAGTGACTTTCTAGAAGGTTACCAGGGCCCGGCATCAAATATGGGCTCTCGAAACTAGAAGAGACACAAACGTTTTCTAAACACCTACTATGTGCCTGTCACTCTGCTGGCACTCTGACACTAGGGGAGCTGCCATGAACAGGGAGTTGGGAACACTGGTGTGCCAATCCCAGCTCTGTCATGAACATGCTATGTGACCTCCCCCAAGTATCTGGAGGACTCTGAGCCAAGGAAGCAAACAGGAAAGTGCGGTGGGTGCCGCAAGTCTCTACGGTTTGTAAACCCATCACCAGCATCATTCTGGACACGACTGATGAAGCTTGAGTCTGACTTGGCAGGGCGGTGGGCCTGGCAACATGGAAAGTTCAGAACTCAGAGCTCAGGCCAGAGCCTGGGCATTGGGGAGAACGTATAGCCACAAAGCGCAGGAACTTCACTCTCTGGTGCTGGGATATGTGCGGTGGCTGCCCTCATCCACCCAGGCCTGGCCTGAGCTAGTGTCTCAGCTAGAGGTAGGGAGGGGCAGTGGAAAGAACTAGAAGACTTGGATTGAAAGTCGAGCCTTACTGCCTAACAAGCTGTGTGACCTTGGGTAGGTTCTTCCCCTCTCTGGGCCTTGGTTTCCATGTCTCTAGAAGGGAAGAGATGGCAGCCCTCTGTTTGGAGGGCTGTGTGTGGGAAGGCTCCTCCTGGCATGCACTTGGAGCTAATCCGTTCTCTCACGGGAGCCCCCTCTACCATCTGCCCTCTGACTTCTCTATCTTGCACTAAACTGGGTCACAGGAAGCCATTTACCTGGGAGCATTGACTCAGTCCTGTCCCTTCCTGAGGAAATGCAGCTGAGTGATAGAGAGTGGGCTCGGAAGCCAGAACGTCTGGGTCTGAGTCATGCTTCTGCTGCTTCCTAGAGTGTGACCTAGCGAGTCATTTACTATCTCAGGGCCTCGGCTCCCGGATGATAACAGCACCTACCCACAGGGTTCTTGTGAAGATCAAATGAACTTCTACTGTAAATTCTCCCAATTAGTGCCGGCTACACAAATAGTTAGAAGAATGATCGTTATTATTATGGTTGTGTGTTGCACCTTTAGCTGAGTTCAAGGCTTATTCAAGTAGCCATGTGTAGCCTTCTACATTTTCTGTGAAACTCCTGCAAAGATTGTTGCCCAATATGCATCTCTTATAAGGCCCTATGTGAAAGTTCATCCCAGAATTCACTGTCAGGGGACACGCTACCAACCGAAGAAACTGTTTTCCTGCCTTGTTGATAGCCTGAGCTAAGAAAGTCACCCTAATTCCCTTTCTGCCTTGGCATCCAGGAAGCTTAAAGTCAAATTTAAATCTCAGTCATGGCAGGAAATATGGTTGGTTTATTTGCTTCCATTCCTTTCCTGTCTGTCTTTTCTGTTCAACTTCATCTTGTGCGATGTGCCCTTCTTGTGTCTTTAAACCCTTTCTGGGAAGAGTCACACCGGATAAAAAGCAACTTAGTAATATTATGCATAAAATTGAAGTAGTTGGCCTAAGACACTCGGTCATTAGACTTGGGCAACTAATAGACTTGGGCAACTCTGGCTTTGGATGGGGTGAGGGGACAGATGTTCAAGGAATTTCAGAGACCACCTCCTCATCTGGGAAATGAGGCCCATAATGGTTATTTCTTATAAGCTATTCACTTTTTATTTCCTTGCTTGAAGCAATGAACATAGTAGGATTATCTGTTGATGTAGCACATTCACTAGGAAAATGTCGAATCATAAATAATAACAAGTGTTTATAACATCTTACTAATGAAAAATCAGATTGTAAAAATCTAACAAAACGATATATATTACGTGATCCCATAGTATGTGTCTGTCTATCTATCTATCTATTTATCTATAATGTGACATAGGTTTGAAAGACTGTGTCTTCATAAAGGAAAGAGTCATTGAGTTGATAAAGCACTAGCTGTTAGCAGGTGCTCTCTTTCTGGAATGAAAAGATGAGGGAAAGTTGAAGTTCTCCATTAGGAGTCCTAAGTTCTGACTTTGACAAGAGTAGGTCTGCTCCACAACCCTCCCTGGATGAGCGGGTGGTGCTTCCTCTGTCAACGGAGCAGTGTCCCCAGTCAGAACTCAGGGACAGATTTTGGGAGGCCCTCTCAAGACCAGGACTCCACACATGGGAAAACATGTTCGGCGTCAGCCTCACAAGTGTGTGCGTGATAGTGAACCAACTCCGGGATAGGAACTTGAAAGAGGAGGAGTCGCGTGGATACTGAGTCTCACACACGCATGAAGGATGAGCCCTAAGAGGGAAACTGGGAGGAGGAAGCCTGGGGCCGTCACACTCATGGTGGTAGCAGGCCCAGCACCCACTCGTTGACCTCGAGTGAGTTAATGCCCATCTCTGTTCCTTGTTTTCCTCATCTTTAAAATGCACCTAATCATGGCCCTTACCTCATGGGGATTTAGGAAGATGACATCCGAGCTCAGAGCTCGGCACACTGTAAGTGCTCAGTAAATGCTCACTGTAGTTCCTTCCACTGTTGGTGCAATCCTTGCATCTTGCACATGGAAAACTGGGGACTGGGGGCTGTGGGTGGGGCCCTGTCCCCTGGGCCTCAATTTCCTCACCTGGAGGAGCCGTGGCTGAGTCCCGGGTACCGCAGGTGCACATTTGGTGCAGGGTGGGGCGCTGGGGTCTTACCTTCATTGTTCTCTCCAGGCGGGTGGTAAAAGGACAGCCCCAGGGATATGATGGCCGCGATTTCCAGGATGATCAGCGTCACATCTTGCAGTGCCTCCCACACTAGCTGCAGGAAGGTTTTTGGCTTCTTTGGAGGTATAAAGTTTTGCCCAAAAATCTGCTTTCTCTTTTCCAGATCTGGAGCGGTGCCTGGCAAACCTGTGGACAGAATGCAGGAAGGTTGGCCTGGGAGGCCTGGGAAAGACACTCAGCTTCCCAGGAACCGTCCTGAATGGGGCTGGCCCCATGGGGAAGCACAGAGCGGGGATGGGGGTGGGGTGGTGGAAACAAAGCAGAAAACTTGCAGGCACCAGCCAGGCACCCAGCACTCGTGCCAGGCCCAGAGCGGGCTCCTGTGAAATGCCAGAGACACCATGAAGTGGGGTGAAGAGTGGTCCCCCACAAAATGATATGTCCGCATCCTAATCCATGGAAACTATGAAGGTGACCTTATTTGGAAATAAGGAAAACGGTCTCTGCTGATATAGTTAAGGATCTTGGCCTAAACCCAGTGTTAAGTGTCCTCATACGTGACAGAGGGAGAAGACACAGACCCAGAGGACACAGGCCATGCGAAGATGGAGGCAGAGATGGCAGGATGCAGCCACCAGCCAAGGAACGCCGGAGCCACGAAGACGCCCAAAGAAGCAAGGATGGGAATGTCCCCTAGAGCCTTTGGAGGCCGCATGGCCCTGCCGACACCTGATTTCCAGACTTCCGGTCTCCAGAACTGTGAGAGAATAAATTGCTCTTGCCCAAAGCCACCCAGTCTGTAGCCATTTGTTATGGGGGCGACAGGAAGCACATACACACACCAGGCCCACCCCCCACCACACCCGTGTTCCTGCTTTGCATTTCCTCCCGATCTCTTCATCGAGCACACACTTGGAGACCCCTGCCTTGGGTGTGAATCCCAGCCTGTGCCTCCAGCTCTGAGCCTCAGTGTCCTCCTCTGTGACGGGGATGACGACTGTACGTAGCCCATGAGTGGTTGTGAGCATCTCAGGACAGAATTTGTTAGGTCAGTGTTTGTTGAGCACCTACTATGTGTCCGGCACTGTTCCAAACACTGGGACAGAGCAGTGAGAGACACAAACAGAGCACCCTGCCGGAAGTGCTGACTTCCCAGGGGACACACAGGACGTGGTCAAGCGGTGCCTGGGGTGTGGCATACACTCAGTGGAGGCTAGTGGCCTGTCTCATGGACCATGGGGGTGAAGTGCAGTCCTCATCATGTGGGGCCGGGACATAGCGGCCCACTTCCAACCCACTGTTTCTTCACTTCCAGACAATTTTCCCTGCCTCACCAATCCGATCCTTACTCCCTGCTCAGCAATCTTTGGAGGCTCCGCACTACCTCCAGAATAAAGTCCATGCTTCTCAGCTTGGCTCTCTGGCCTCTTGATCGGACCCCCAAGCCATGCTTGCGGCCACATTTTCACTACCTGGCCCCCTCCCAACCAAATCAGGCCTGTCCTCTGCTGGCGTGGCTTGTGTGTACCTCCTGCCACATGTTTGGTCGGGTGTACCTTCCACGTCCCTCCTCCCTGCTCCGCTTGCCTGTCTGCAAGTCCCCTCCCAAACTCATTCACTCCAAGGTGTGGACAAGAATTGTCCAATTCTACCCATAGTCAACATTTGAAATCATTCCACTTGGGCTTCATTCCTTGAAATAAAAACTCCAATTCCTTTAGATTCCCTGGGAGAGGGAAGCCATCATCAGATCTGGACACCATGGTGTGAATGAGTTTTAGGCTTTTTCCTGGGAGTGGGATTTGATAAAGAGAAGAAAGGAGAACTGGGGATAGTGGTGGGGCCTCTGAGGGAAAGGGCTATGACCAGTCAATACTGGCCTGTTATGGCAGTTTGCTGGGCTTTGACCAGTCAGTTCCTTTTTCTGAGCCTCAGTCTTGATAATAGGGGAGTTCAGTAGGATGGGTGGGTCCTAAGGATCCCACAGGTTCCAAGGTCTGCAGGTCCTGAAGTGGTCCTGCTGGGGTCTATTCACAACTCTTCATAGGTTTGGTATAAATAAGGGCATCACTAAGAAGAAGCTTAGCAAAACTGGGGCCAGTCTATCTCCTAGGCCTGTCCTGATTGATTCACAGAGAGTGAGTCTTTGAATCTTCCGAGGGTCTGTGATTCAAACGTTCTGGAGTGTGACCAGTTGAAAATGTGGGTATTCCCCAGTTCTGGGAGTCTGGTCATAGCTCAGGGGTTCTTTCATCTGGGGATTCATGGGACTGGCTTTGAGATCTTGGGTCCTGGGACAGGGCACAGGGCAGGGGGTTGCAAATCTGCAGAGCCATGGGGCTGAGCAGCTTTTGTGAATGAGTGAAGTAGGTGGGTGGGGGGCAACAGGGAGTAGTGGGGACTGGGGCAACATGAAGAATCTGTCATTTTAAAGGGGGAAATTATGTCTTAGCTCTTGTGGGAGAATGTGGAACCACTGTGGTAGATCTGTCAGTCTTCCAAGGGAAGCTGGACACCTGGAATTTGACGTAAAATCTTCCCATTAAAAATAGCCTAGGATGAAATACAATGTATCTGTGAGCTAGATTCAGCCCTGGGGTTGCTGGTGTGAAACCCCCAAGGCTATGGATTGGGGAGAGGGGAGGAGCAGGGAGGCGCCAGAGTAGAACAGCCTCCCTGTCTCTTCCTCATCTTCACTGGGCTTCCCCCTCCCCAGCACTACACCCTGCCCTGCTCTGCTCCCTGCAGGTTCTGAGGTCTCCTCTGTTTTTTAGAAATAACAGCTCATAGAATAAAAATATTTGTGTGTTCTGTAGGGCCAGTCCCACTTAGAAATCTCTAGGCAGTTTCCACACAACAAACACCCTAGTATATAAACCCAAGATGGGAACCTTGGGTGTTGAGGTGCTCACATAGGGTGATTGAGATGACAGATGGTGGCCATGACATCTTGCTCACCCTCTTCCTCTTAGGGGAAGAAGGTGGGCTGAGCTGGAGATGGGGATACCCAGCCCCACGAACTCAGATGGGCTTGAACTCAGATGTCATAGGTTCAGATGCCAGGTCTGAGTGACTTTCGGCAAGAGGTGTCGCCTCTCAGTGCCTCAGTTTCCTCATCTGTAAAACGTGAGTAACAGCAGGGCCTACTTCACAGGGTTGGGCGGGCCTCGCGTAAGGTGCCCGGTGCTGTGCCTGGCACTGGGTGAGGGTATTGGTTAGTGTCGCTCAGTTTTAGGTGGTGTGTGTGATAATTATGGCCTGCCGGAGGAGGAAGACTTTGTTTGGACAGGTGGCATTTCAGTAAGATGGGGAGGAGATCAGTAAGATGGTCAATGTGAGGACAGGAACAGCAGAAGGGCTATATGACTGCAGACAAGCCACTTATCCTCTCGGGGCCTCAGTTTCCCCATAGGTGACATGAAGGATTGGCCTGACGGAAGGATAGGGGCTGGTGGCTCTGATACCTTGTATCCAAAGACAGTGGTTTTGAGGACATACAGGTGGGACTTCCCACTGTCTAATCCACCTATCATGTTTTTCCCAGGAGTGTAATCTCATAGTTTCCCTGCCTTCTGGCTGAAAATGAACATGCCTATTTTGGGGAGCAGAAACAACAGAAGGTGATGTGAGAGATGAATGGTGCTGGAGATTCAATTTAGATAAAAGAGCATCTCACCATTTAGCATATTAAAAATTAACATTCTGTGTCAAGTATCACTGGACAAAGCCAACAAGGTCTTGAAAATTCAGAACCACAGTGCCTGGGCATTGATGTCAGAAGCCGTGTGGGGTTGTGGGTTTCTAATGTGAATTTCTTTTTTTGCACAAGAGGCAGAGGACAGAGATCTGAGTGAGAAGTCAGGTTTGTGGATGAACTTGGGCCATTTATCTCATCCCTAGAAGACTCAGTGTCCTCGTCAATAAAATGGGAGCAAAGTAACTCGTAGACTGTGGTGAGCCATGCAGAGAAGAATGTGTGCAAAACTGTACAGGCGTAGCAATTGTGCCTTCACAGTAAAAAGCCTCCAGCACTTGTACAAATTCTTCTATTGGAATCAGAATTTGTGTGTTCTATTAATCATGTAATAGGAGAAAGCCAAGCACAGAGCATGGGAAACTTGGGTTGTACAGCAATTATTTGCTGCAATGGCTGTTTGCTATCATTGTATATTAGAATAACCTTTGCGCCAAGCTTCATTTCTATCCCGCTGTCCTGGACACAACTGGATTTGTTCCCAGCCTCTAAGCCCGTGCCCCTGCTAATCCTCATTCCTCTATCTGGATTGCCTTTCTCTCTCCTTAGCTCTTTCAGGCCCAGCCCTGAGTGCTGCAAATGGCAGCCTCAGGCCATCAGAGAGGTCTTGTTTGGTCAGCTGCACACTTGCACAGTGTTAAAAAAGTGATAGGGGTGCCTGGGTGACTCAGTTGATTGAGCATCTGACTCTTGGTTTCCACTCAGGTCATGATCTCATGATTTGTGGGACTGAACCCCGCATTGGGCTCCAGGCTGACAGTGTGGAGCCTGCTTGGGACTTTCTCGCTTTCTCTCTCTCTGCCCCTCCCCTGCTTGCACACGTGCACGCTCTCTCTCTCTCAAAAATAAATAAAATAAAACAAACGATAATTTGTTGCCAGCATTAAAAACTCAGGTACTTCCACATAAAAATCCAGATGTCTAGCTCAGCAAGGATGTGTGCATGGACCTCAGGGAGCTGGAACCTGTGGATGAGAGCTCTCTGACCCAAACATTGGCCTCATCTTGGCTGGGGGACATGTTTCCTGTTAAGGAAAGCTCAGGGGGACAGTGAGAACCAGCTTAAGTTCTTCCAGGAGCAGAGGAAGTCTTTGCATTGTCTGGACCTAGCACAGAACTGGGGACCAGGAAGAGTGAGTGAGGGAGGGATCCTGGTTTCCTTAGAGGGAAGGACTTTGTCACCGGTGGGCTGAAGTGGATGGATGTCTAGGGAGGAAGGAAAGGGAAACACACCCAGAGGCTGGACAACCCGCCATGGTGTCCTGTCACTAGATGCCAGGCCCCCAGCGACTCAGGAGTCTTTTCTCTAAAGAGGCCTGAATTCCCCCCGGCCCCTCTGAAGGTAGAGAAAGTAGTTAGGATCCTAGTAGATGGTGTGTATCCAATCTTCCACTTGCTTATTTAATTAATCGACAAATATTTATTGAGCACC